CTGGGAGCAGCGCCGGAGTGACTTGGTGTTTGAGGGGGATGTGGGAAGGCGGGATCACTGCCGCCATGGCTGAGAGCTTCGTCTGAGCCTTTCTGTGCTGCTTTGCCAGCATAACGTGTGTCTCACACGCTTTGGCTTAAAGCTGCTAAAGCTTCAGTTAAAGCTATGCTCGTCTCTGGTGATGAGGAGTATGTTCTTGCAATATTCGGGTGTACTGGGAGGTGACAGGTGATGCTTAAGCTTGTTCGGTGGTGGAAGGTAAGGGCTTTTTGCTGTGCTTCTGCCAGAAGCTCTTGAGCTGTAAGCTCTGCTTCGTGCTTGTTGAGAATTACCTGTATGGCTGTGAATATATAGTGCTTTGACTTGGAAACCACCTGTCATCTTTGAATGGAGCCCTGAGCTGAGCAGGGCTTGGACATCCAGAGGTGTTTTCAGCCCAGATGGTTCTGTGTTTTTCCGTGACTGTAGGTCATGTCTCCAGGGTATCAGGAGCCAGTGGTGTTGGCTGTGTGGGCTCAGCCACATCATGGACCAGGTGGGCTTCAGTGCATGTGAGGGTCAGACCCTCTGGTTCTGACTACTTTGGTTTGTGCTGTCAGTTCTCCCTAAGTATTTGGGGACCAGGTTGTTTGTGCAGCTGTCTTGTAATTGTTTGAGCAAAGACCTGGAGTGATGGCCATGTATTCAGTGCTTCCATCAGTTCCTGTCAGGAAAGCATTCCCTCACCTTGAGTGGAAAGTTATTATATCATCATTTTGACTGCTGGGGATTTCCTGCTGCAGCATAAATGTATAGTGCCTAACTCTCCTGCTAGATAGGAAGTAAGTTACTGCAGGGTTTTAACTAACTGCTGGGTGTAAAGTCATGTAACTGGATCTTAGATGATCAAGACTGAATGCAGTTTGGGATGGGCTACCTGTGTTTATGGCTGAAACAACCAGAACTCTTTTCATCCCACTTTGAAGTAGCTTTCTCCATTCAAAAGTGGTTTCCTGTGCATATATAGAAACCTTTGTCAACTTCCATTAGATTGGCACTGATGATCAGTGGTCTGAGTCTTCATCAACAACAAAGAACGGATGCTTTATGTAACGTGGAGATGTAGACTCGCTGAGGAGAGCTAAGGGCAATATAGCTCTTTAAATAGCATAAATCTGCCCAGCCTGAAAGTGAAGTAACAAGAGGCAGTGTTGAATTGCTGAGTAACAGGGCTCTGCCCTGAAGAACTTGTGTGCTGAAGCATATTTGGAACAAACTGCATGGACAAAACAGAACAAACTGTTCATACTGTAAGAAACCAAATTAGTAGTAACTTGAAGCTTTTTTTGCATTTATCAAATGATTTGGAGCATGTGGTGCAATTGGTTTTTTGAAGGAGGAGATGGAAGCTTAAACTTCTTGGGTAAGGTCTTATCCCCACACAGCTGATCTGTGATGTACAGGATGGTGACGAGTAACTTGGGTAGAGTGTAGGAGGCTGAGACTGAGGCAATATGTAAGCAAAATCTGAGTTATGGAGAAGAGTCTTTGTGTCTGTCAGTAATACTTAGGGAGCAATCTCCCACTGATGAGTGGAATAAGATGTGGAAGGGACAGACTGAGTGGGCAAACAGCTGTAGTGGCTAAGTGTGAGTAACAGTGCAGGGATAGTTTTAAGTGTGTTTCTCTTCTAAAGCTGGAAGATGTCCTCCTTGTAGGAGGAGGATGCAAAGATCACTTCTGAAGCAATTGGCTGGATAACAGGATGACAAACCAAAGATAATTGGTGAAAACACCTCCAAGTGGTTTAGCTGAAAGCATCAAATAGGGAGCACAGTTGGCAGAGCAGAAACTCTGTCGCTGATGGCAGATATTCCTATTTAATTGGTTGTTGGCACAACTTCAGACAGCGTGGACATGATGAGAGAATGCCACTTTCAAGCTGGTGATGAGGAATCAGCTTCAGTTATTCATACCTAAAACTGTTTTACACACTGAATTTCAGGTTTTAGTTTGATTTGTGGGGTTTGTTATGCATTCCTTGGGTTACTTCATCTGCCTTATAATCATGTAAGACTTAAACTGCTCTTTTCTATGGTTTTAATGTCTAGCTGGTAAACATGTTCTTGAACTTCATTAGTGCTGTTTCAGCATGAAAAGATAAGCTGCAATCTGCAGGCCCCATATTTACTAAAAATGAGGCTTGCTTCCTTTCATGGTGCTGTTGGCATCACAGTTGGACAAGTGTTATCTCATCTCCGTGTCACCAAGATATCAGAGGGTTTTGGTCCCAGGCTGGAACCATACAGCAAATGTCTCCTGGTGGGGAGCTTTGTTTATCTTCTGCTGTGTGAAAGTATTGTGATGATATGATAGGAAGTGTCAGCAGGCAGGACAGTCCTGCTGTTTGATCTTCCCTTGCACTGATGGGGGGGAGGAGTGTGTGCAGATGTTGCACAGAATTATTAGAAAAGGTTCCTGTCTCTGGTGGCAAATGGCTTGAACACAGTCAGGTGAAGTGATGCCATCTGTTCAGGTGTTGAACTAGGCTCACTCTGATGCTATAGTCCCTTGCCTTGAGCAGAAGTGATCTGCTCTGTGTGGTTAGCTTTATCTTCCTGGTTGTTGTAGCCACAACTCTTCTTTATCCAGGACATCGCTAATTGTAGTCTATCTAAATTGCCGTAATTATCTGTATAATGCTAACACATATCTATTAATTCCAGCCAACTACAATGACTTATACCAGTGGTCAGTGGAATCCTACTTGGACTTCTGGGCAGAATTCTGGAAGTACAGTAACATCGTTTGCTCTCGCCTATATGATGAGGTAAGTTCAGTGTTTATCTTGCAGTAAGTGCAACACAAAGGGGAAATAAACTGGTTTTACAATCAGTCTTTTGACCTCTTCTTGGAACTCGCACAAGTGATGCAAAAAATCTGTCAGGGGTATATTTCCTTGTGTGGGGTTTCTTGAATTACCTTGTGTGCTTGGATGGTGGTTGCTGATACACTTTAGGCCAGTGAAATCCTCAAGTTTTATTGTCCTAAACAGTTCTGCTGTGGTGTCCTTGAATAAACTGGTTTTACAATCAGTCTTTTGACCTCTTCTTGGAACTCGCACAAGTGATGCAAAAAATCTGTCAGGGGTATATTTCCTTGTGTGGGGTTTCTTGAATTACCTTGTGTGCTTGGATGGTGGTTGCTGATACACTTTAGGCCAGTGAAATCCTCAAGTTTTATTGTCCTAAACAGTTCTGCTGTGGTGTCCTTGTGGAACTCTTGCATTTCCTGCTTGCTTGTGAGTAGTCTACCAGCATAATGCCTTCTGCTGTAAGATCATGCTGGTTTTGTAAGTTCTGGCATACAGTCAAGTTGATGTTTGTCTTCCCTGAGTCAGCTCACCTGATAAGCACACCTGTTACACTCTTGGCTTTGTAGAACTGGTTATGGAAGCTCTGCAGTCAGGTGTAGGCTTGAAATACCTCTGAGGGAATGGTGGTGGTTGAATGCAGTTATGGGTAGAATACCAGACTATGCCACAGAGTTGCTTTGGAATAAAGGTGACTCTGAAGCTCTTGCAAATGGAAGGCAGAGTCAGAGCCCTTGTACAGTCCTGGTGTAGGATATCAACATCACCCTGTGGTTTTCTATCTGAGGAAGATGGTGGACTAATTACTTCAAAAGCTTGAGGCAGAGGAACCTTCCTGGGACTTAGTAGAGAGAACTGGACTTGTGTGTTAATCCCTGGAGACCATCTGTTCCAGGAACACTCAGTACTGCCAGGCCTGCAGAGGGGACTAGTAAGTTTCTTTTGACTTTGCCTGGTTTATGAATTTCTGTACTGCATGATATGGTAGATGAAGTGATTCCTTGTGCCATGGACCTGTGTGCTCAGGTGTCTTCATGTGACCCACCCTTCAGAAGAGTGAATTCAGCAAGAGTGTAAGATCTAGCCTTATTTTGAAGTGTGTGGTCTTGAAGACTGTAAACACAATCTTCTGTTCTGCCTATAGATGGTAACTTTAAATCTGGCCAGGTTGGTTTTGGGTGCTGTGTATTTTCTTTACATGTTGTGTACTGCTATCAAGCTTATTTTTATAACTTTCCACTTGAACTCAAATTGCCTTGAACAAGCAGTTCAGAAGAGCTAGGTAGCACCTGTATATCTGTACTGAGCAAGCTGGACAATAACTCTTGTTCTCTTGCCTTCCAGGACTGGTACTCCTGGACGTAAGTCCCTCCAGATGCCACTGATGGCTGAACTGGAGGGAGACTGAAGCAGGAGTTGGTGCCTTAAAAATGGATGTTTCCTGAGGATGAGAAGCAAGAAGATGGGGGGTGTCTAGGAAGGCTTTAACTAGGCTATTTGTGAGCTCTAGGCCACTGCATGCCTGTTCTGTAGTGGTCTTGCTGTGATGTGAGATACTGAGACAGAGGTAGAGTCAGCTGAGAGACAAGGGCTGCAGGAGATGGCCTGAGTCACTGGTTATGGACATTGCTGTTTGACTTTCCCTCAGTGGCAGCTTCAAGGCTTGACTGCAGCTTTCTCACTTGCTGTTAGTCCTTGCCATTGGGCCATTTCTTCTGTATATGTCAGGAAGAAAAGCAGATCACAGTAACTGAGCTGGTCTGTGGTAGCTAAGGAGCTGAGAAGTTTGAAGTGTCTTACAGCTTGATCCTGGCTGTCTGTTGGAATTAAGCATTATGCTTTGAGGGAAATAAAACTTTCCACGAACCAGAGTTGACTCCGTTGTTCTCAGCCTATGAAACAGCTTCTGCTTTCACTGGGCATTCTAAGAACAATGATAAAATCTTGTGTATGTGTAACCCAGGCAGTCAGTGTTTTCATTTACACTTGGTAAAGGTTTTAGGTACGTGATGTGGACATGCTGATATCGCTCTGTAGTAATTGATATCTGTGTCACTTCTGAAAAGAACACAGGTACTTGCAGTGTGCAAAGCTACACTGACATGGCAGCATTGGTGTTGGTATGCCAAATGACAAGTAGCTTTTGATTTTAAGTGAGGAATGTAGTCTAAACTGATTCTCTTTGGCTGTGAGAAGCTGTTGGTCCTGTGGAGGAGCCTCTAAGGGAGAGATCAGGTCATTCATGTAACACAGTAGCACTGCTGAAGAGATTGGGCTTAACTAGGAGTCATAGGTGTTACCTGGGAAGAAAATATTGGAGCATCAAGTGTGTGAGTCTAGCACCTTGTGCTAGTGCAGCTCTTTGAAGCTCTTTGAATCCTCTTTGAAGGATTTTTTTCCACTTCAGGAAAAAAATAGTTATGTTGGATCATGTCCTGGAAAATGTTGAAAACATTCTGCTTGCTTTTCTTCAAGCTAAGGAAGTTAGAAATGAGTCAGTTCTAAGAGCAGCTTCTAATTACTGCAGCAATATATGTTAGTATAAAAAATATATTTCTGCAGCCTGAGCTGATAAAATGTGAATTTTATAAACTCAATTCTTGCTAGTTGTTAGGGTCAAAGAGATCTACGTGAGTTCCCATTTTTAGAAAGCACATTTGGAATGAAGTGATGCAGTAGAGCACTTCCACAGGAGCTTTAGCTTCACTTATAAATCAGTTTGAGATTTGCCTCCAGGCCTTCATACCCTGCCCATCCTGAAGCACAAACCCATTAGGTTTTGGGGAATGGAGGGTATTTTGAGTTCTGCCTGGCTCTCAGAAGAGCCTTTCACTCTCTGAAGGAATGCTGTTCCTCTAATGCATGTGCAATCCAGGAGAGAGAACCTGAGGGTATAAACTGAAGCTTTCAAAAACACAACTGTAAAATCAAGTTTCTATTTAAAGGTTTGAAAACACATGTGCTGCTGAGCAGTTGAATTGCTGAGCAGTGGAGCATTTTGGAAGGAATTCAGACCTCTGTGGCTTATGCTGAGGGGTTCTTGACCTATCACTGTTACTAAAGGTATAGACTTAACTGTGACTTACCAAAGGGCAATTTAATGCTTTGCTGGGGAAGGTGGAGGAAGTTGTTTCAGCTGAACCTATTTTTGATGACTTTTCATTGCATTTTTCAATTCTTTGCATGTCTTAGTCCTAAATGGGGAGTTACTTAATATGAGTTCATTAGGTTGTTCAACCATATTCGTCCTGAAAAATGGAGAATTGGATTAAAAAGCTTGAACTTATTGAACTATGTAGCTGATTATTTTGAATTACCATTGTCTGAGTTCTTGGTCACTGTACCCTATGACTCATGCTGGGGAAGAATGGGTGCTCACACCTTCCTGTGCTCTCCCTGCTGTAAGAGGGAGGCTCTGCAGTGTGGCCTGGCAGAGTTGAACTGTGCTGCAGCTCAGTCCCTGTTGAGGGGGTATTTCCAGAGGCAAAACCCTCTGAGCACTGTGGCTTGCCTGTACCTTGTGGTCTGGGTGTAATCACATGGTTTATTTATGTTTTAAGTGGTTTGTTTTACTTGTGTATTAAGGGCTGGTCCAAAGGTAGAACTGTCAGCAAGGAACTTTTTCTAGTTTTGTTGTAATGACGTATTTGCTTGTGACAGTTGACAAATAATTAATCTTTCCAGGCCACTAATTACAGGATTCAGTGTCTGTTTGCCATCTGTAACCTGGGAGAAATGATTCTTGCCTAATAGTCTATAAAGAGCTTGGAGTTAATTTGCTGATTTCAGTACAATGCTCTGTTTTCCAGTAATATATTATATTTTTTCCAGGTGGTTGATACATCCAAAAGTATTGCAGATGTCCCGGAATGGTTTAAGGGCAGTCGGCTGAACTATGCAGAAAATCTTCTGAAGCACAAGGACAATGACAAAATTGCACTGTATGCAGCAAGTAAGAAACTATTCATGGCTTGTATTTATGTTCACAGGACTAAGCCTTACAAAACAGCTCTGCTGTTGATGAAACCTTGAAATAAACTGGCTTGGGGAGGAGAAATAAGGTTAATAAAGTTGGTGACTCTGCACACTCTATGATAGAGCTCTGCAATAAACCCAGCAGGACGTGCTCTGGAATATAGATCTTGAAAGTTCTTGACAAACAAAATGAGGTTTTTTTAGACTGCTCAACTGTGTTAAGGTAGTGAAGATCCTACTGAGTTTAACATCCCAAGTATATGAGGTATCATTTCGGGTTTGTCAAACACTCAGTGTTTGCCTTCAGGAAGCATTTTGGCACTGTTGCTTGATAATGTCCTTCCCACCCTCTTCCTATGTTTTTTATTTTAGGAATACTAAGGACTGCATGGGGTGTAGGTAGGAATGAACTCTGACAATACAGAAAGGATGAGTATGTGCATGGAAGACTTGGAATTTCACTTTTCTGGAACACTAAAGCTCATCCTAATTTTTTTTATTAGACCAAAGATAAGTCTAGTGAAATACCTGCATACTCATGCAGAGGATGGTAATGTTAAGACAAAAAAAAGGCCCTTTCTCTGTATCTGCTGACTTTAAGTTTAAAAACCAATTCTAGATTAGCTGTTAGATAGGATTAGCTTCCCTGCAGGTGTGTGAGTGCTTCCTTAGGGAGTTGTATTCTGAGCTTCCCTTTTGCTGGGCCTAATCCTTATCATGAGACTGACCAAGCAGTGATGCTTCTTAGTAGCTTAACAATGAACAATGAAGCCTTGTAGCTAATTAGCAGAGAAAACGATGCAGAGCTATGGATTGATTGTGTAGGTATTAAAAATGTCAGATATATAGAAATCAGTTTGTTACACATGTTGCTGTTCTGATAGCTGTTCAAAAACCATGTGAGAAAACAATCACCTACTGCTGAAGAAATACTGATCAGTTGCATTTTACTGCTTAGAGGTATTGAAGGAAAGCTCTCTGATCATGTATATAAAATCAACTACCAGTTCAGAGAGAATGGGGAAGTCTCTGACCCAGTTTTGGTGTAATAAGAATTGATCTGCTGAAGTCTGGTAGAAATGAGGCTTGTAACAGAGAGCTTCAAAGTGATGGTCTCATTGCTTTCAGGTTCTGAGCTCATTAGAAAAGCTTTTTATGTATTATTTAATGGAGGAAAAAAAAATGGGTGTAGTTAAGTACATCCTGTGAAGCACCTGAAAGCCAAACACTGATTAGTAAGTCAACTCCAAATGTATGTACAATTGATGTGATTGATTTCTCAATGGTAGAAGCTAAACATGCAACTTGAGAACAAGTGGAGTTAAATATTGTCACTTCAAATTATCGAAGGAGTTATTATCAGTTTAGTGAACTGCTTGGTTTGACATGTGGTTACACTGCCCCTGTAGATCTTCCTCCTTGTTAGGAAGTCATGGGTTGTACCAGAGACTCAGTGCTCTGTGTGTCACATAATCACAAGTGACAATAGCAAAAGGAGCAAAATTATTTTCTGGTTAGTTATTGAATCAGTGCTGGAGTGAACACATTTGTTCCTCTGTGGTGAACAGACTTGCACCTGCATTTCTTTCATGACCTTCTGCTGTGTTTAATCTTCTTAAGACCTCTTAAGTCAGAGTATTTTTTGTTAACCCCATGCTGCTAGGTCAGAGTGGTGGTTCAGGAACCTGGGTCAGGTTTGTGTGTTCACTAGGGATGATTCTGTGGGAGCATCAGAGCACAGGAATGTAAATGTAGCTCTTCTAAACAGTTTCACTTGTTGCTGGCTCCCACTGTGAACCTTTTTTGTGATTCCCTTCTCCTGGGGCTTTAATCATGGTGCTATATCAGAGTCCCATTTCCTGTTGTTCTGTGGGAACACACTGTTGGCAGTCCCTGCTCAGTGTATGAACTAGGTGTTACATTGGCTTCTGTGTTGTTTTGCATCATGACCTGCTCTTTTGCTCTGTCCAAACTTCTTGGTATGAAAGTTTTAAAAAGGCAGACGAGTGAAAAATAACTCTCTTGGCCCATTCTTGGCATGGTGTTTTCATAAATTCTGGATACTGGAAACAGGACAGGCCAAATGGTTTGCAGGAGTCACATGGAGGAAGTACAGGAAGGGACCTTTCAGATGACAGATTTTCCTTTCATAACATTTAGATTTGTTCATTTTGTTTCACAAGTGATTTATTAACAGCTTATGTAACATCTGACATTCAGTACACAAGTGAAAACAACCTGCAGATGCTTTTAGAGATGAATGGAGTCCAGTTGAGTTTGTTTGCTTTGTGCTATGTTGGCAAAGTCAGGTGTTTAAAAAGCATATTGAAAGTCAAGCCTGTATGTACATGACTTTTTAGTCAGCAGTAACTTGCTGTCATAAAACTTAAACTTGGCAGCTTAGAACTAATGAGAAAACTCATCAAAAAGAGAAAAATGAATGGGTTTTTTCCATTATTAGAAATTATCCTTGGTGAGTGCAATCCATTCACTATGAATGTTCTTGGAGAACTCACCTTTCTCCAGTGAATAGTTTGTGGTTTTGTATGTTTGTGTCTAGAAATGTCCTCATGCTACTGAAGTAATATCACTGATTAATATTTCCTGTTAAAAACAAAAGGTTGGTAACATAATAGGAACTTAAAAAAGCAGGAAGGGTAAATATTAGTGGGAACTCTTCCCTTAAAATTGCTTGTATTCTTCCAGAATTAGTTGTTTGTACTCTGCTTGTGTTGCAATGCCTAATTTTTGACTAGTGGTTTAAATTTTCTTCAGGGGAAGGCAAAGAAGAAGTCTTGAAAGTTACTTTTGAAGAACTGAGACAAGCTGTAGCTTTGTATGCTGCAGCCATGAGGAAGATGGGAGTAAAAGTTGGAGACAGAGTTGTGGGTGAGTAATTTCTGCAATGAACAGGAGATATTTTCTTGAAATACGCAAGTGCATAGTCAGAGTTACAGAAACACGAGTGTATTTCACAGAAACATTCCTAAAGAAAAGGCTCTTACGCTGCTATATTTACATTTGTGTGAAATACATTGCTAGAGGGAAGGAACTTGGATTAGCTTGCAGGTTGTCTAGCACTGGAGGGAGAAGGAAACCACCCCTTAAAAAGCTTCACGAAGGTCTGCTTCATAAACAGTTGTCTAGCACTGGAGGGAGAAGGAAAACACCCCTTAAAAAGCTTCACAAAGGTCTGCTTCATAAATGCTCTGGAAGCAGAAGTGATGGAGACTTTACATCTAGGTGAGCTTTGACTCACAAGGCTTGGCAGATTCTCTCAGAGGCAGTCTGGGAAATGATGGTCCCAGGTTGGTTGTTCTGGTGCCAGTTGGCAATTCCTGACCCTGCAGCCCGAGGTAATGCAGTGCTCCGTGATCTGTAGTTCCTGAGAACTTGTACTGTCTTCTCCCCCCAGTGCTTTTGGGGAAAATCTCTTCTAGAGCAGTGGTAGTGAGCAGCTGGTGGGCAGGAACTTTTCAAGTCATACTGGTGCAGAATTGGTGGTTAGAACTCTGATCCTTTCACCAAATCATCAGCAGTAATACTTCCTGTCACAAGACTGTCATGTAGATTTTTTTTATAAACAGTTTTTTGTCCTGTGAATGGCTTATATAGTCCAGGCATGGAAAGGAGTTACTCAAGTTGGTCTCAGTTCAGTGATTTCTAAATTACTGGGTTGGATCTTCTAGCTCAGCTGCTTTGTCTCTACTTCATGTGCTCTGTAACACACCTTAGTTTTGTCAGTGAGCTGCAAGTCAGACCTGCAATATCCTTGGAGCTCCTTGACTCCCATCTGCCAATTATGGTGTGTGTATCCATTATACTCCTGGAATTATATGTTCCTTGAGCAATACTTGGCCATTATACTAAGTGTGTGTCAATTCTTACATGATGCAAGCCCTAAGTGATGAAACTGTTTTCTGCATTAAACCTGTGTCTTGAAAACTGGAAGGGTGTGCTTTATTATATTTTAAACCCACAGAGATGACCTGAAAATGTACAATATACTCAGTAGAGCTCATTTCATGCATATAGTATAAGTATTCTCTGGAACTGGTAACTGATCATACAGTTACCACACCTGGTGCCTTGGGGCAGTAACACAGGATGTGCTTCTACTGCTTCTGAAAAATCAGCTTCTCAACAGAATGGAGATACTCTGTTAATTTTCTTGTAGCAGCCTAACACCTAGTCAGCCTGTCAAGTTCTGATGCCTTTGACACTTTATTTTAAAATCTTGAGCTGTTAAAATTACAGGAATGTAACCATTAACATGGTTTTCCTGTGAATTTCACCTCCATGCTTTGCTGCCTCTAAGACAAGACTGCTTTAACTTTTCATTAGACTTAACATATCCCCTAGTTTGTTCACTACAATTTCTGTTTGCATCATGACAGTAATAGTATGGTGAAGGTGGAGGTGGGTGAATGTGGGTGGACAAGCAGCAGTATCAGCACTTTTTCAGCTTGATTTCATGCTTCCCATCACTAAGGAGACAGCACTTAATAGTAAACATAATTGGAGCAGATGTGTGGTGAAACATATTTCTTTCTCTAAAGATGTCTTGCAGTACTCAGTGATGCTTGAACAGTTGGAAGAGACATACAATACCTAATGCAAGCTGCACAGATCCACATGTGAGGTACTCCTGGTCTCCCACTTGGCCATCTGTTTGGCAAAGCACAATGACTGAAATAGGAATAAACTAAAACTGGGAGTATATTTCTCATCTCTGGTTAAGTTGCTTCTATTCTATCCCTGTAGCCAGCTTTGCTCTGTTACAAGTCAGCAGTTAGTCTAATCTTCCCCATGTGTTCACACAAAAACATCCTCAGCAAAACATCAATGAATGATATTGTTTAAAGCTGGTATTTTATCTATAGTAACTGTATTAGCCCTGGTTGCGTACGTGGGGTTTAAAGCTAGCTTTGTAAGGAGATTAGCATGTTACTAATAGTCTCAGACCACAGCAGTGTTGGTGGGATGGCCACTTTGAAGTCCTGCAGGAGCATGAAATGAACATTGAAAAGGGAAACTGGAAGTCTGTCTTTGATTATCTTCTGTTTGAGAGCTGCTGTGGTTCAACAGTGTGAGCCATTGAGAAGATACTGCAGTTGCAGCTCCCTATTTCCTTCTTCCTGATGCATTATTTCAAGGTTCAGACAAAGTCTTTGATGCAGGGTCCCAGTTCAGTTGTTTTTTTTTCATTCAGATGACTCTGAATGTTTGGGTGCCTGTTTTGGATGCCTCTGAGTGCACATTTATTCTATTTCATAGAGGCATTAGATGCTTGCCTGGAATGTGGTATCAGCACTCTGAGAAATGAGACTTTACATGTATTTTTCAGCACGATTATATCCAGTTTTGGACTACAGTTTTTACCTATTCTGTTGTTCAAGTACTGCAGTGTAAATAAACACATCTGAATGTAATCTCAGTGTGTGCTAGATTAAGCAAATAGCAGCTGACAGAAAATGCTGTCCTGAGCAGATCAGGCTGTAAGTGGCTCTTAAAAAAAATCCAGACTGTTTATAAGATACCATTTGTCCTGCTTAAAGATTTGTCACAGGGTATATGTCAAAGGAAAGCTTTTGTTTCTTTGTCCTTATGGAGATTGTATACTAAAAAGTCAGGAGTGCTGCTAGGACCCTTGGTTTGTCATACCCTGATATCCCTAGCTGATAAATTCCCAACTCCTGTGTTTTAAACCTTCTATTTGATTGCTTTCTAGATCACCCAAAGTAGGAAGATCTTTTTAGTAACAGAAGGTGGTTTGCACCTTTAACAGCTTCAAGAAAGGAACAAGTTAATATACAGAGACAGAGAAATACTTCCTGTAGCCTTCACCCATGTTGACAAATACTGGTTTTGATGCTTAGTTGAAACATGGAGCTCTAGGTAAATGTATGAACAAACATAGGATGAATATCTAAGTTAGCAGCACTATTTTACTTCTGTAGTACAGACCTTCTATACCCAGGTCACTGCTCTGTGACCCCTGATGTTAATTCAGCTAAAGACATTTTGCATCAACTTTGTCAGCAGCATTCCTGTTTGTCCAGTTTTAGACACTTGGGACCTGTGTCAGCCCACGGAATACTTTGAGGGGCACAGGCAAATGCAGGGAGTGTCACATACATGGCAGTGGCTGTCATCAGTTTGTAGAACCTCTACTATGAGAGAGGGAGAAATAACTTCTAATGATAATTTTCTTTATATTTGAGAATCCAGTTTTAATCTGAAGGACTGACAGAAATAGTTTGTCACCTAGTGCTGGGAGCTGTTGAGAGACAGGGCGTAGGTTTGTGCATTGCTAGGTTTGGAGGATCTCTACCCAGAATAGACCCATATTTTTACTGGTGTTACCTGGTGCTGGGACAGATGTGTGTGAAATCCCAGTACAGGCTGCAGCCATTGGGTAGAGATATAGAATGCAGAGGAAGTTGCTGTGCTTGCTTCATCCCTTTGGGCAGTTTTGGCTGGTATCCTCTAAAACTCAACCACCACCTCAAAGCCAACTGACACGTGAAACTAATGATTTAATTGTCTGGTTCACCATCAGCAGAGACTTGTGTTCTTGCCTTGAGGGCTTTTGTGTAGGAGTGGTGAAAAGGAGAACTTGCTTATATAGAACTGAAGCTTGTAAGCTATGGCAAGGTAATAACTGCTCCAAAGCATGGAGAGAGATCTTTCAGCTTTCATTGCACTCTGTCCCCCTGATAATCCCATCAGTGGGAACATTTGGCATCAATTAAAGAACTGCTTTCGTCACACAGAATGACATTTCAGTCCGTTCTGGTTCATATCTTTTCAGTTATCATTAGGGAGTAAAATTACTCTTACAAGAAAAACCCCTAAGATTGTGGGATACTGTAGCCTGTACCATAAACCTTGACCCTTAGGGGCAAATAGCAAAATAAACAATGCCTTTATGGGCATGAGATTTTGCACTCTATGTACTTAAGAACTTCACTGAACAGAACACAAGCTGCAGGCAGTTGTAGGGAGTAATTTATATCCGAGCATGGTATGAGGCTTTTATCCACAGCTGTGTGTTTTTCCAAAAGTTGTTAGGCTTTTAGGCCATAATGCTGTTTTCAAATTTAGTACTCCCAAAAAGCACAGCAGATTACAGCAACTCAAGTGGCTACACTGGTTTAACAAACTCATTCCACTGATTTATTATTATTTTTTTTTAATTCTGAAGAAAAATCTCAGCTTAAATTCAGACTTCTTTGTAAAAAGTAAACTTTATCTGCAAAAGGTTGGGATTTTTTTCAGCTGTGTAGAACCTCACAGAAATCCAGCTCGATACACTCCTGCTTGATAAAGTTAATGTTTATAGAAATTGCTCTTAAGATCTGTGATCTTAGTTCCTCTCCTGAAAAGTACATCCCTAAGTATCTTTCTTTGAGAAGTGCCTTGTCTGGTAGGTACTTGTGCTGCAGCTTCCATGGCAGGCCAAGATCTGTCAGTGCTCACACTGCTGGTAAACAGGTTGGAAAACATTTTTATTGCCATTGTTTGCTTTCAAATGCTGAATTCTAATTAGATCTCAAAGATCTGCAATTAGGCCCATCCTATCCTTTTGTTAAAGTATTTGACCATCCTTTTGGTTGCTTAAGAAGGATGATCTGAAACTCCAGGTATTTCATCTGCTTTAGTGTAGTTTGTGAATTCCAGTTGCAGATTTTCATGTGTGGGTTGGATTCTGATCAGTGGAGAGTCAGTCCCAGCCACCAGCACCTTCTGGAGAGTTGCTCAAATTGAGCTCACTGAAAATGTAACTTTCTTGACATTAATTTATTCTCTATGTCTTGATAAATTGAATTGAAATCATGAGATCTTGCTGCAAGCTAATGAGATAAACCTGAAGAGCCACATTTGCGTGGGAGCATTCCAGGGCCTGTCCCACTGTATTATTCCCTTATCAGCTGAGACACTGGTTTTGCTTGTTCATGTTTAAGGTTCTGGCAGTGTCTACCAGACAACATTTAGCTTTGTAAAGCTGAATTTCTGCTTTTGAACTTCCATCATCTTTCCTTCCAGATCTCCTTCCTTCTCTACTGGCTGTTCCTACAGATCTGTTCTATTCCCCTGCACGATGCTGTGTTCTTAGTACCTGTGTGCTCTAATCAGAAACTTTCTCCCCTCCCCAGTTTTTCTTTTCAGGATTCTGCCCTCTTATCTGCTTATTGGTTAAGTAGAAACATTTGTAAATTGGGACTAACTTTGTAGATATAAAAACTGATTAAACTATTTGTATAAATGAATTTAATTCTTTGAGCAGATTTGACTTTGAAGGATGTTATGATTGTGTGGCAAGATTTAAAGGATGTTTCAGCCTATTTTTTTTAATTTTTGGAAAATCTGTTTTAACTGGCTACTGCATACCTTGTATTTACTGTTAAGATTTGTTAGTTTTTAAGTGTTCTTCCATCTCTAATCATCCAAACTCTACCCTAGGTTACTTACCAAACAGCATTCATGCAGTGGAAGCAATGTTGGCTGCTGCAAGCATCGGAGCGATCTGGAGTTCCACATCACCAGACTTTGGCATTAATGTGAGTAGCCTTATTGCACGTGCAGAAAAGCTCTCCCTGGGCTTCAGAAAAATGTGAGGGTGATAAATTCGAGTGGCAAATCCATTCTGTTCACTTTAGTCTTGCTGCCACCTCCTGGCACAGCCAAGTGCTCTGGATTTTTCTCGAGCTGCCACAGCTGAAGGAAAACCCACACTTTGAGCTGTCAGTAATGTCTGTCAGCATAGTGATTTGAGTAGCTGTAGCAACTCACTGTTGGGATATTTTCACATGGTCTTGGTGGGCTTTTATTATATTAAATGTACAAATGAGCAGCAGTGCAACAGAGCTGTCTGGGGCTTGGCCCTTCTTTCCCAATCTTGCCTCAGTTTCTTTGCCTAAGTAGTCTCATCCTTTGCCTCCTGTGTGGGTGAACTCAACAGCACCTTAGCTGGTCTTTTCCAGAAAGCTTTGCCATCATGGTGAGGAATTTCAGGCTAATATCACTAACCTGTTTAACTCTTCCTCGTAGAAATAAATGCTGTGTCTGAGAGACAGTAAAATTATCGTGACATCCAAACAGATTTTAATGTGCCTTGGAAGTTTTGGTTGTATATTTCTGCTTCCTTTGTGAAGTTTTTAGCACACATCAATGACAGATACAAATCACTTCTAAAATGGAGTGTTGAACCTTTCTTCTGTCTAAAAGTTTACATGACAGCGTGTGGAAAATGGTGTTCTGTGCTCTGCAACACACAAACAATACAAAGTTTTGAGGTAATAACCTCAATTTCAGTGTTTAACCAGAGTAGGTGGGAAAACGTGTGGAATGGCCCTCCCTGGATTAGCACTAGAGGGCGGCAGCATTCCACATCCTTCACTTGAGAGTGTATCATTGGGAAAAAACCTGATTAAAAAATCATTACAGCGTGTAATGATCAATCTGTTCTACAAATATTTTCTGCTTGCTCAGAAAATGACAGTATGGAGTATTTTCTTTGCAATGTGATTTGATCTCTCATCTGGGGGAAGATTGTTCATTTTGCTTGCATTACAGAGCTGTGGTATGTTCTCTGCCCATGTTGATGTGCTGTTATTTTCAGTGCTCAGCTTTATTTAGTTTTTGTGATAGTTTTTTAAATGAAACTTAGCCTTGGAGCAGCAGTGCCATCGATATCATTTATTCTCCTTTGGCTTAGCAGCATGTTTTGGCATGAATTCAAACCCCAAAATCTTGAGGGAGATCAGCAGAGGTCCTTAGAGATATATTGGCTTCCACCTAAAGGAAAAGATATTCCTCCTTCTGTGCAGTTGCATTAGTCCTGTTAATGTAAATGAAGACTTTTGTTTGTGTTCTGGGAAGTCATGTAGCATTTTCAACATTTCAAGTCCAATTGTGTATCTCTGTTTTGTGAAGCTTAGAAATGTCACTTTTCAGAGCTGCCTACACATTGCAGGCTCTGAATGCCATAGAGCCAGAGATGTTCAGGAAGTGCTGTCAGGGAACCAGTGAGCTCCCTCCCACGCACGATGCCACTCTTGGCAGCTTGTGCTTCATTTCTCTAGTCCCTGTTACCCATTTACATATTCTAATAGGAGAGTGCTGCTCTGGCCTGTGCATTTGTTGGATACATCAGCTTATAAAGAAGCTCTGCTCTTAGAACCAGGTGAGGAACCTTTGGTGAGCCCCAGCACAGTCAGTGCAGCTCCATTCATGGGACCCTGCACAATTTTTAGCACTGGATTTTAGGCTCATAGCTATATCTGGTATACCTGAGCTTTTCCTGAAAGCAACTCCTTGCTGAGCCATCTGCTTGGATTAAAGTTCCAGTGTAGCAATTACATGTTCCATCTGTTTGTATTGCCTTTGTATCATACCAGGCTGCCCTGTGGGATTTGATCCTGCCAGTGCTAATGAATCTAACTGGGTGTGTTAGCAGATTTGGTAAGACCCTGAGAATTGGAGTCATCTCTGTTTCTGATTCACACTTCTCTTCAGATTTGAGTCTTCTGTTAAAGTACCCTTCGTTGTCATTGGGTTTCATTTTTAAACATCAGGCAGCATGGAAATGGGGGATGTGTGCTCTGTGCTCAGCAGAAATGTGTGTACACACGTGTGTGTGTGTGGCAGCTTGGCCTGCTCTTGGAAAAAGGTGCAAAGAAGTAGGTATAATATACCTAAGAAAGCAGGAAATTTGATTTCATACTCCCTTAGAGTGGCTGTGATGTGTTAATTAAATCTACATTTCTAAGTTTGTTAGATAACACATTAGAGGCTTCTTGAAAACTTCTTATGTCACCAAAACAGATTCTGGTGGTTTTTAGTTTTAAACTAATTGATAAAGTTTATCTCCTGATTTGGTAATAATTTGTTTCCCATTTTGGCTCCACAGTAGGAGACAAAAGAATAAAGAGTGCTGGGAAGAATAAGCACCATAACTCAAGCCTAATTTTTGCAACATGATTTAGGAGATTTGTTCTTGAACAGTTAGCTGACAATTTTACAGCATTGAGTAATCTCATGGTTCTTAATGCTTCAAGTGATGTAGCTAGAGAGGGATGAGCATCACTGTACACTGAGAGCTTTTACTAAAAGGATTTGCTTCCTGCTGTTGGATACAAAAAGATCCATTTCTGGTAGGCTGCTGCATGCACTGTACATGGCAAAAAAATAAATGCCAGAAGGGTTTTAATCTCAAAAAAAATGATAGCTGTGGTAAATTCCTGTAAACAGCATAAGCTACAAGAGACACCTGAAAATTTAGCATTTGAATGTGTCCTGCCCCAGAGATTCTAAAGGAGCTGTGGTAGTTTTTGTTGGGGTATGTGTGTTCAATGTTTAGGTGTTTTGATACAAAACAGTGGTGGAGTTTCCTTTGTAGCAGGACAAAGCTGTGTGTTCATGGGAAGTGTCAGCTCACCATGTGATCAATGCATCTTCCACAAGATTGGTGTGTTTGTTCTCCCCCCTGCAGACCACCAGACACTGGTGCACTGTCAAACCAAGGGCACACAGAGCACCTGCCTGCAGGAGCAGCCAGGACTCCTGTGTGCTCTGTGTAAACTAAGTGTCCAACTCCTGCTCACACCACAGGTGCTTGTCCTGTCTGGATGGGTTTACAGCTCCTCAGGATGAATTTCTAGCTCCTTAGAGAGCCTTGTGAGCTTGACCCTTCTGTGAATGGTGTTCTGTGGTCCATGGGGATTTTATCTGTGTTACTAGTTGGTATATTTGGGGTCATGAAATAGATTAATACAAACCTGTTTTACTTTATAGAGAACTTGTCTGAGTGAAAGACATGCAGACAATCTTTTAACAACTCTCCTGTTAATTCCTGTCCTTATTCCATGCTTGAATTGAAATGTGCATTTAGCAACCCCTCAAGTTTCCTATTGTAGCAATTAATTTCATTTTTAAACTTACTTTTCTCTTTGTCCCTAGGGTGTACTGGACAGATTTTCCCAAATTCAACCTAAGCTTATCTTCTCTGTCGAAGCTGTTATCTACAATGGCAAACAACACAACCACTTGGAAAAGCTGCTGAGGGTGGTGAAAGGTATTTCACTGCATCCCATTTAGTCCTAGTTGTGCTGTAGTTCTGTGAACACTCAGAGCCTGCACTGCCACTGCAAGTGCCACTTGTGACTGTCCTTCCTCCTTTACAGCATCTCTGTGGCCACTTGGATTTTCAGAACTGATTCAAGTAAAAAGTCTTCTGTGTAATTCCAACAGCTTTCTGCTTGCTGAGCTTAAATAGATCTTATCTGTTCTGCTTGCTGAAGTTAAATTGATCACCAGAAATTAGTCAGCAGTAGAAGTAAGGGAATAGGGGTTGATGATAGCATTTTTGAGCCCAAGCAAGATGCTGCTGAAGACAAATGAAGAGATATTACAGCAGTAAAGCTTGCAGATTTACACCTAAAAGGCTGGCAGTATTGAGGAAACTATATCTAGGCTAACAGTTAGTCTTTTGGGGCTTCAGTGTTCAGAATTATTTCTGTTACTTAGTTCATTACACTGTGTGATATGACCAGACAGAGAAGACCTTTGGTTTATGTAACAATGTAGGAAATAATTTTTTTTCTTCTTCCTTCCAGGGCTTCCAGATTTAAAAAAAGTGGTGGTGATTCCATATGTGTCCTCAAGGGAAACAATAGACATTTCCAAGATTCCAAACAGGTAATGGGAGCTTGTGAGCTGTGACTGTCCTAACTAAGGATGGATGCTATGGAAACTTCTTGACTGACCTCCTGAACTTAAAAACGCTGGGACTTAGCCAGATTTAATGTGGGTCCAGCTTCATGCTGAAAACAGAAGTAGTAGGTTGCTGCAGATGTTTTACTTCTTCAAATTCACTGTTGGTATTAATAGCTTTCAAATGAAGGCAGAATTCAATGGGTTATAGCATGGGGAAGAAAGTGACTTCCAGAAATGAATAATTTAAGTGACATTTTTAGTGTTATTGTTTGGTTTATTTACTGGTTTGGATTACATATGTTGGAAGTGGTTGAGTTCCAGACTTGGAGACTGTTTGTTCCAATCTGCTTTGGGCTGTTAAAACTGGCAGCTGGTCACAGGGGCAGATTTATAGGCTTGATTTTGTTGTGTTCCATCTCAATATTATACTGATGTTTTATTTTTAAAGCTGAAAAAAAAGGAAACAATAACTAGCAATTCAGAGAGGAGGAGGAATAAAAATAGTATATTTAGAGTAGAAAGCTTATTGTAGAAGAGCTATTGGGTAAAGAGGTAATTGAAATGTTCCTTTTTTTCTTTTCATGCAGTGTCTTTTTAGAAGACTTTCTTGCTACTGGGAAAGGAGACCAGGCCCCTCAGCTGGAGTTTGAGCAGCTGCCTTTCAGTCATCCTCTCTTTATCATGTATTCATCAGGCACAACAGGGGCACCAAAATGCATGGTTCATTCAGCAGGGGTATGTCTTCCCTCCTGGGGCTGCACCATCTATATTTAACTGCCTGGGCTACATTTCTCCTGTAATGGTATCATTTTAAGGAAGAATTGATTGATTGATGACAGTTTTTCCAATAACTTGCAGTGAACTTTTCTGTTTGTAAGTGGCTGTTTGAAAGCAAATATGGATTGCTAAGAATATCAGGTATATTGGGTTAGAGATCAGTGTGGAGACCTTTCAGGTTTCAGGGGGTTCCTGGCAGCAAGTGTCAGTCACAGAAGCACCAGCAGAACTGGCCTGACTGATACTTACAGAAGAAAAGCCAAACAACTTGAATTGGGTGTTTGGAACTGATTTTTGCACAGTGATAATATGAGGCCCATAGGGAGCTTAGTTTTTATTATCTAGATTGCTTTTTACCTTAAACTTTACTCCATGTTTATTAGTTCAGAGTATGTCATCCTCAGCAATCTCTCTTTTTTTAAGCAATCATAGATAATGGTGAAACTTTCACTCTGCCACTAATGCAGTCCTTAATAAAAGGCAGTGCTTTCCCCTGAAGAGAGGCAGAATATGTTGTCTAGTGCATTTGTCCCAATGTGTATAAATGAAGCTGCACAACTATTAGCCAGAGTGAATTTTTCTGCTATTTGCTCTTGACTGTCAGGATGAGCATCCTGTGAGGTTGGCTGTGGAGCTGTCTGGGTAGCCTGAGGGCAGAATCCTGTGATGCTGTGCCCATAGTATGTACCTTCTTGCCTCCCTTTGATGGCAAGGACTGGAGGATTTGCCCACAGACAAATCCCATGCTGCCTGTAAACACTCTGCTTTATATATCATCAATAGGAGATGATACCAGGCAGCAGGTGACATAGAGAGTGGTCCCTTTGGGACACAAATCCAGTGTTTGTGAAGGAGAAAGGAGATATGTTTTGAACTTTGACAGCTGTTTTGAAGCTGTCCTGGCTTTAGACTGGTTAAGTACTTGCAGAGGTGGATTAGCAAAACCAGGACAGATGTTTTGTTCAGTGCTGCATGATAAACAGTAGAGATGAAAAACACCAGGGATTTATATCAGACATCAGGACTTTTCTCTGTTGCAAAGTTTCTCTTCCTATGCTACGTGTGTGGCTGCTTAGCTTGTCCTGAATCATGACTCTGCTCTCATCTGAATCATCCTTTCAGTTTATACAGAGCTACCTTAGAGTTTAGGCACACACTACTCATCCTTGCTGGGGAGGAGAGCAGGTGATGGATGGATGAATAGGGTGTTGTTTGCAATGATTTCATTCCTGTTGAGCAGCTCTGTAGTTGTGTATTAGAGTGACTTTTTCTCTTAAGTTCTGGTGCTAACACCTCTGGCCTAAAAGCAAATTTTGCCTTAGAGGCCTCAGTGGTTTGCATACTTTGTATGTGTCAGTTTGAGCAGGGCCTACAAATAAAGTCCATGCCAAGATGTTTTCAGATGTATTCTGCATGCTTGATCCTGTGGTTGTTCTTGGCTTAATCTTGTTTCTACTGGAATTAATAAGGGGATTCTCATTGATTTCAACAAGGGCAGAATTTAGCTCACTGTCTTTGTCTCACTTTCCAACCTCAGATTAACCCAAGTTTGGTTTTGGTAGTTAAAACTGCAAGAAAAGATGACATTTCAGTGAAGACATTTCAATTATCACTTATTTATAGTCTACTTCAGTGCTGTTTTGTTACTGTACTGATTTTAGATGCCAATAGGCAGCTTACTTTAAATTCACAGCTCAGTTGATCTAATTCTGCAGTATGTTTCTGGTTTATTTTCTCTGCACATGTTCTGTTTTCTTGATACACAGTGAAAAGACACATGTAAATAAAGAAAATGCAGCCAGGTCATGGGAGATGATTTAAAAAATGGTGCCTTAGAGAGAGTAGGCTGATTTTGGTCTTGGAAGCAAAGCTGTGTGGTACTGAGCAGTTGGGTGTGCTACAGAAAGACATTTGGAAGGTTCTTATTCATAGAATCAGCCAGGTTGGAAAAGACCTCCAAGATCATCAAGTCCAACCCTACTGTGGTCACTAGACCACGGCACTAAGGGCTACATCCAGTCTCAGCTTGAAAAAGGAGAGAGTTCTTTGATAAAATCCTCATCAGTTCATTTTTCTCCATCTTGAGCACTTGCAAGACTTGGGCTTAAACATTTGCACTGCTGCAAACTTCTTGTGTTAGCTGTAAGCAAATCACTCTGAGGATTTTTCACGCTCAGCCTCTTCCTGAGCACTGTGCAGAGAACAGTGCTGGTTGGAGACCAGGGTGAGCAGCCATGAGTAGCTACTCATGGCTCACTCTCAGCTGTGTAACTGCTTAGCACTGGTCCCTCATGTGCCATAGTGTGGCTCAGGAGCAGCAGTGCCTGCTGATTTTTGACACTCCAGATGCTCAGCACTTTACCCAGCCATATGCTGAGCCCAATGAAGACAAGCAGACCAGTAAGTTTTATCAGCTGCCAGATCTGTGTCATGAAATGCTAAATGCTTGGGATTTATTTTGAGGGTCATAGAAATTCTATAAATAAACAAGTTCTATAAATAAGCCTGAGAGAGCATCTTGGGCCATAAGCTCTTTAGAACAGCTCTGCCTCCTCCCACAGTACCTT